TTCTTCCAGGCCCATAGGTGCCTCCTATTAAAGATTTTAATGGTCTGGGACCAACATCTTTTAGATACACCATCACTCTTGCTTTGAACCCATGGTTTGTCAGTGCTCTATAAGCTGAGCTTAGTCTGAATATTGGCTGCAAGAAGGAGACATGGAAACAACTACCTACAGCTGTTTCGGGCTGTTCTTCCCTTAGGTGCAGGTATAGGGAGCATGTGGCCATACAGCTGTTGTTGCATTGGCTCCCATCATGCCTGATCATTGGCCATGCTGGCTGATGGGGTCTGGAGTCTAATATCTTAAGCATCATAGGCTCCCCATCACTGCTGCCTTGGTGCTTTCCAGCAGAGGTGAAAAACTACCGTACTTATTCCATAATGCTTTCCATTGATTTGGTTCTAGCTTCTTGTTGTCTGCTTACTTGTTTTGTAGCTGCTTCTGCTGGTGTTTCTTCTTGCATCCGAAAATATACTTGCTGTGCATAAAACTGAAATTTCTCTCTCTTCCTAGAAAGCAAGCTCTTCAACTAAGTTTTATATGGAAATAAGAGCACAGTGTTAAGCTCTCTAATTTGATACATATGTCATAATGACCCAGACTGGGACATGGCATAGTAGTACAGGCCTCGGGTCATATTTAGAGCTCCAGGAGTTCATTTACTGACCATTAATATGAACACAATAAAAGCTTCTGGACACGTGCATGAATTGTTATCTGGAACCATATGCAGCCAACGGAGGTTACTTTGACCTCTATTGAGTAAACCTGGTATCTTAAAAGTTCCATCAACTCCCCAACTGCTGTCTCTGTGTTACTACTAGCCTCAGTGGTAACAGGAGTGCCCCCTACATCAATTAGCATTTATTTATCCATTTAAAGCTTTTATAAGCTGTCCTTTAGGATCAATTTCTCCCAAGGCAGCTTCTACCGATAAGACGACAATATATAATCTCTAATCAATTTTTTAAAAGAAAACACATGGCAATAAAAGTGGTAAAATAAGAGCAACCAGAAATAACATTAAGGCAACACCAAGCCCAGTAAGACCCCAAAACACCACCAGAAACACAGCAGCCCAGTTAGAAAACAGCAGTGAGCAGATACGTTCAGGGCCTAGTGATGCGCCCTGGAATATCACAACTGGAAAAGAGTTTACAGACGAATAGTCCTGCAGAATCAGACCAAAGGCCTATCTAATCCAGGCTTCTGCTTCCTACAGTGGCCAACCAGATGCCTAGGAGAAGCCCACAAACAAGGCATGAGCACAATAGCACTCTTCCACTGTTACTTACCAGTGACTGGTATTTAGTGGCATACTGCTCAGATACTGGAGGTTACATAGAACCATCGCGATAAGTAGCAATTGATAGCTTTCTCCTCTGTGAGTTCCACCACTGAAAAGGCCCTTCCCTTGTGCCCACCAAGCTAACTGCTCTCACACAGGAGCACACACGTAGAGCCTCCGAACCAGATACCATTTCACCACATATGCACAGTGTCATCTCCAATCAATGCTTCCAAGCTCAATCAATCAATCAATGTTTATTACAGCAAACAGCCAGCAGATGCTTCCAAGCTAGATTAATTAGAAAGAAGCAGCACTGTGCAGTGTTTAGAACCTGTGACCTTTTGGAACAAAAGGCATATATGCTCTACCACTGAGCTACAGCCCTTCCCCTTGAGGGTGGACAGCTCTGTGAAAATCAGTTACAGATTTCTTTCCTCTTGCAATAGGTGTGAGTGTCTTCCTCCACAAAAGCTATTAAAGGAGCCCGCATGGTCTTCAGAAGTGGAGTGACTGCCTTATAAACTGCTTGCTCAATTCTTCTTTCCCTACATTTCTACTTGCACTTTCCAGTTTTGTTTCTTTAACTGGGATGAATATTCCCTTTTCATTTTTTTGCTTGTGCATCTCTTGAGCAACTATCCACAGCTCCTTAATGGTAAAGAGGACAAGAATAGCTTTTAAGTAGCATCTCCAGGTTATATAGCAAATTTGTCCTGTAACTGGGAAGTCAGGAACCAGGGCTCATTTACTGAAATATAGTGGTACCTCGAGTTAAGTACTTAATTTGTTCCGGAGGTCCGTACTTAACCTGAAACTGTTCTTAACCTGAAGCATCACTTTAGCTAATGGGGCCTCCTGCTGCCGCCGCGCTGCCAGAGCACGAAATTCTGTTCTCACCCTGAAGCAAAGTTCTTAACCTGAAGCAATATTTCTGGGTTAGCGGAGTCTGTAACCTGAAGTGTATGTAACCTGAAGCGTATGTAACCCGAGGTACCACTGTACAATGTGCTCTGTAAGAACATAATAAAAGGGCCCAAATCCTCCATCTTCCTGTTCTCACAGTGGCCACCCAGATGCCTGTGGGAAACCTGCAAACAGGATTTCAGCACAAAAGCATTCTCCCCTCCAGTGGAGTTCAAAAACATACTACCTCTGAGGATAGCCAACCTGGCTAGAAGCCATTAATAGTCTTAGTTACCCTGGATTTATCTCATCCCCTTTTGAAGCCATCCCAGTCGGTGACCATTACTGCCTCCTGTGGGAGTGAGTTCCAAAGTTTAACTTATAAACTCCATAAAGTAGTACTTTCTTTGTTCTGAATCTTTCAACCTTCAGCTTCACCGAGCTCAAGTTCTCCATTTCAGAAAGAAAGTGAAGTGTTCAGCACTTGGCTAGATTGTGCCTTTATTTTAGAAAAATAAATCGTAGGAAACATTGAAGTATTACATCATGCTTTTAAAGCTCCCAGTTGCGCACTTACAGACGTAATCATGATGCAACCACTTGGCATATGCCATATAGAGATTCATTTGCATTCTTCTTTCCTCAAACTATCAGTTTTTAATCATGCAGTTTTTAATCATTTTGTTACCCAGAGCCCAAAGAGGTACTCAGAAACTGTTGCGCTGGACTTTGTTATCGGGTTTAATATGGTACAACATAAAGCTTTGATGAAAGGAAAGAAGAAAGAACACAGCAAGTTCATGAAGCTAAAAAGCCAAGATGTACTAAACTGGGGCATTCCAAGTTAAAAATAACTACCTAAACTGTGAGACCAGAGCTGTAATTTTGTGCAGCGCAGCATGACATCATGGTTTACATGGGGCCAGCTCAATAAATCAAGCTTTAGCTAATTAGAGATCCTACTGCCAGTCCATATTATTTTGACAAATAATTGAAACGGGACAGTTCATAACACAAGCCAGTTATGTTTGCTAAAAGCATGTTCTTTTCAAACTGTTTTAACTTCACTCCTGCTTACAGATAATTCACATTCAGAAAAGTACAGATCCCAAGTGCTTATTTTGAGTCTGACTTCACTGTCAAGGAATTCTTCAATTAACTTTATGTTGCTTTGAGCATTCTCTCGCCAATGAGAAAACAATCTGTGGTTCCTCGATCCTTCCCGTGCCAATGGCTGCCATTCACACTTCTCTTTTAAATGCCATACACAGTTTCTGCAACAGCCCACCCTTGTTTGGTGAAAACTAGCAAGCAGTCACAACATTGACACATCTTACTTAGGAAGGCAGGAGCAACAGGGAAGGTTGCCATTTCTTGTTGAACAGAATGAGAACATAAAGGCATCGACTTGCTACAAAATAACCTGGATGTTGCTTTTTTAAGACTGTTTTAAGGATGTTTATTTTTAAGACTGACAAATCAAAATATCCTCAAATCTACAAAACGGTCTTTAATAAAAATAAAAAAGCCTATAGAGTCACAATCTTGCTACTAATCTAGGTTAGTTTATGTTTACATAAAATAAAACCATGAGGCGTGTGTGCGCGCGCACACACACACACACACACAAACAAATACACTCAACAGATTTAGGGGACATGGAGGGTGCATGGCAAAATAGGAGGGAGGGGAAGTTATTATGAGCTGTCCAAAGTACAAGCACATTAGTGGAATTATTTAGTTGGATACTGCCCTTGGTTCCCTTACAATAAATATGATTTTATGTGTGGTCTGCAGTTGGATAAGTCCAGTTTTAGTTTTTTACTTGGCACATGCTTTTAGCTCTCACTTTGTATCAGGAACACAATTGTATTGTTGGTTGTGTTGCACTGATCTGTGGTAGCCAAACACCATCTTCATTTCATTTCATTTTTTAATTTGCATATTATCTATCTATATTTACTGCACTTGAGGAAGCCTAGATCCATAGAAATGATAAATACTCCCCAAAAAATCACATTCCCAAACTATAACAATTCTAAATATATCTAAAAACAAATTAACAAAATTCAAGAATCTTTTTCACACATAGCATTACACGATAATATTGGAAGCAGAAGCCAGAACTGGTATCTGTGAGCGTGGGGGTGGGAGGGAATTGGGACTGTATTATACCTTCTTCTTGCTTTTTCCAATAGCCTTTGGTTATTTCTAAAATGTGTTATCTATTGCAGTGTATCAGTTCTAAGAAAAAGGAACTAAAATTTAGCCATGTAAAATTTCTAGCCTACCTTATTCCCAAGAATCGGAACTGAAAACGTTAAAAAGTAACATAGTAAAGGTAAAGGGAGGCCTGACCATTAGGTCCAGTCATGACCGACTCTGGGGTTGCGGCGCTCATCTCGCTTTACTGGCCGAGGGAGCCGGCGTACAGCTTCCTGGTCATGTGACCAGCATGACTATGCCGCTTCTGGCGAACCACAGCAGCGCACAGAAATGCTGTTTACCTTCCTGCTGGAGCGGTACCTATTTATCTACTTGCACTTTGATGTGCTTTCGAACTGCTAGGTTGGCAGGAGCAGGGACTGAGCAACGGGAGCTCACCCCGTCGCGGGGATTCGAACCACCAACCTTCTGATCGGCAAGTCCTAGGCTCTGTGGTTTAACCCACAGTGTCACCTGCGTCCCAAAAAGTAACATAAAGTAACATAAAATTGGAGTCAGGACAGAACAGCTGATCATAGAATCATAGAGTTGGAAGGGACCACAAGGTTCATCTAGTCCAATCCCCTGCAATAAAGGAATCTTTTGCCCAACGTGGAGCTCAAACCCACGACCCTGAGATACAGAGTCTCATGCTCTACCGACTTCACAGCTGCAAAACCTCTTACCAAATGGTCACAAATGGTCAGGCCTGCTTGAGGATCAACCAAGGAAGCGCTCTTTGGGATGTCAGGGCTCTTGTGAGAGATCTGAAGTTTAAGTTTTTGAAAAATTATTATGGAACCATTACTTTATACACATTATAACTTTGAAGCAGCTAATGGATTTGCTAATAAAATGATAGAAATCTTGTCTTGTTAATGGAAAACACTTGTAATTACAGCCACGGGGTCTACATATCGCAGGGCCTTCCACAGCTAAACACGCTATTTTGGTTAACATTATCAAAAACGAAAAGGTGACTTCTCCCCAAGCAACAATCTGCTTACAAAAACAACAACAACAGGCACTTGAAGCGCTGTGATTAAAGAACAAAATATATGCTTCTCTTGTATAAACTTGTACAGATTGCTTCCTATTGATCGTTCGAGTCATATTTTTGGCACTAAATTGCTATTCAGTTACAAAATATAAGCAATAGAGAACAAGTGATGTAATCTATTTACAATCTAGGTTTTTTTATTCTTTACATGAGCAAAGTGTAATACAATCAGGTTGATAAAAATGAAAACCAACTGTTTGCATTTTTTTTAAAAAAAAACAAGTTTAGTAGAATAATAATAAATATTTAATTCTATCTAGGGCTTTTTTTTTCAGCCGGAACTCTCCAGAACTTAGTTCCAGCACCTCTCAGTTGGGCACCATTGTCATTGTAAGAGAACAAGGGAGGTGTTTGTGGTGAGTTCTGCAACCTTTTTTTCTACTAAACTTCCTTTTAAAAAGTGCAAACAGTCGTTTTTCATTTTTATCAACCTGATTTTGTCTATCTGAAGGGCTGTCACATGGAAGATGGGGCAAGATTGTTTTCTCCTGCTCCAGAACCTATGGGCTTGAATGGAAAGAAAGGAGACTCCAGCTAAACATTAGGAAGCACTTTCTGATGGTAAGAGCTGTTCAGAAGGTGATGTCCTCTCCTTCACTGGAGGTTCATAAACAATGGTTGGATAGCCACCTGTCAAGGATACTTCAGCTGTGATTCCTGCGTTGCAGGGAGTTAGACTAGATGAGCTTTGGGATCCCTTCCAACTCTGCAATTCTATGATTCCACAACTGTGGTATTCCTCTGCCCATTAGGGCTGGGCAATATCAGCTTTTCAGCATCGTGGTATATCGCCAGCAGCTCTGCCGGGGATGGGGAGGGCACCTCATCCCCAGCTGAGTCATCCTCAGTGCTATCCCCGCTTGCGCAGGTGCCAACGCCGGGCTGGGGGATTCTTTCTTGGCTGAGAGAAGAGGCAACCGCACACTCCTCAGCCGAGCAGTTAAAAGATGCAGAGGGAGGAACAAGCTGTATTGGTGCCTCACCAACGCAGCTTTTTTCTCCCTCTGCGCAGTATGAGGGCAGAGTGGGATGGCAGTTTCACTCAGCAATATATCACTGGTGAAACCGCCACCGCTCCCGAGTCCCTCTGCTAGCTGGAGGAAGTTGCTAGCAGAGGGACTCAGGAGTGGTGGCGGTTTCACAAGTGATATACCTCTGAGTGAAGCCAACATTGCATTCTGCTCCTCATACCGGTCCTGGGTGATATCTTGATATTTCACCCAGGTCCTCGGCTCATCTAATTAAAACAAAATATATCCTTTGAGTGATTAATCAGGGATTAAAAATAAATACATTTATATCCTGCCCTTGCTTCCAAAGGCGTTCTCTAGGGCAGGTGTGGGGAACCTCAGATTTGAGGACTAGAATGTGTCCCCCAGGACTCTTTTATCTACTAGGCCTTGGGATGCTCTTTAGACTAAGCTGCCTCCCCTGGTCACACCTTTCACTGGCCCTCCAGTGGCTGAGTGTCCTCAGAATGTAAATACTGAAGAGGCCCTTTATGATTCTTCTTGTTGGGATTGCCATTGGTCCTTCCTGGGCTTCTCACTCCTATAGACAAAGACAGGGAAGTGAGGAGGAAAATGCAGTTGTGAAGGGAAGGAGGTCTGGCTACCAAGTTGGGTGAGGAAATTGTGGTAAGACAGCGGTTAGGCCAAGAAATCTCTCAAGAACACAGGAGCTGAGCAGGTCCATATATGCATGTATTAGGATTGGCATTTCTTGGCTTGAGAAATCCATAGGAACATGGGATGCTGCCTTATGTTGAGTCACACCACAGTTCCCTCTAAGTTAGTCGTCTTCTTCTTCTTCTTCTTCTTCTTCTTCTTTGGCCATCACTCGTGGCCAAGTAAGATTGTCTTCCATGAACATGGTCCTAACAGTGCGTCCATAAGTGACTGTGGAGGCCAATTCTGGATCCGCACATCCTTCCACGTGGGGACATAGGTTTCTGGGCAGGAGTTGATCAGGGTGAGGGTTTGCCAAGCATGCCTTCCTCTTAGCACATCTAAGTTAGTACTGCCTACACTGACTAGCAGAGTGTTCCTCTTCAGATAGTTTTGCAACTCCTGGCCCTCATATAGTCTGACAAACAGTAGAGGTCTGTAGTTAATTTCTCATGATAATAACTTCCAGGATTATTATTTTTCCAACTAAAGATATAGTTTCTAACTATAAAAATATTTCTAATTAAGCACATGAGACATTCTGCATTATGAAAGAAGAATAAAGTCTCAGCAAGATATCCTCTAGCTTGTAAACATGAAAGTCTTCATGCTTTATTACATTTCTTCTGCACCTTTAATCTTCTATAAGAGGGCAAAGACCAGAAGAATAATGCAGAAAACAAGCTCTAATGTTATTCTGACTCATACTCAGTTACAAACTACCAACTAACAGATAAAGGAAAGGCTGCAATGTTAGCTTTTCAGTTACTCTTTAGGAAGGGATTTAAAATGTCTCCTGCATTATTACCTCATGCTTGGACCTCATGAATTAAAACTATATACAAGTAGAAAGTAATTCAGTCCTGTAGTTATGTATACTATATCCTCAACTAAAATAAAAAGAAGTGGGGAGAGAAGGAAAAGGGGAAATGAACTCATGTTCTCAGCCAACTTCTCATTTCCCCCAACTTAATTGTGAACTGAAAGCGTTTTGTCTCTTTGGGGACAACATCAACATTGTGTCTAACTGCCACTTGAAAAGAAGAGATATGGGGAACAGAATGGTTAAAACAAGATTGCATTATAAGCCCAGTTTTACATTGATTAGCATTTCTATACCAAGTTTCTTTTCTACAGTACAGTCTGACTATTTTTGCTGTTGGAATTTAGTTGGTTTTGGAATGCTCTCCAAAAGTTTATTGTATAAAAACATTTAAGCTTAAAAATGTACACTATAAAGATGCTTTGTTTGGCATGAAAGTGTTTTATGACATCCGTTAGGAAGATACGTGACCCCTCTGAGCCACAGTTAGCAGTATCATAGTTACACTGTTCTGTGCTTCCCTTATACAGTGGAAGCCAACACATAACGTAAGGTCAGAATTCCTTATGCTCCCCAATTTTCTCAAGGCCATAAGAGGAATGCAAAGAAATCTCTTTTGTGTGATTTAATGAAGCACCTTGCAGTAAAACTGCTCGGACTCATCAACTCACCATCTCCCTATAACATTCTGAATGCTTCCACAATATTTTGAAAACTGCTAGCACATCCTACCTTGCAGCTAAACGGTTTCACATACTTGTCACGTCTAATAGGACAACTTTGTCGTAACTGCAGCTTTTCTCCAAATCCTTTCCAATTTGGCCATCTCCTTAAACTGGGGCTGCGGTATAAGGATACTATATGTAGTTATGCTCCCTTCTACTAATTACTTGAATTTTTATTACTTTGGTAAGTAACTTCAGAAATGAACTCCAACCAAGATGGAGTTTCATTTATAGACATTTCTGCTGTAGTTTCATCATTGGCTGCTCCTTTACATATGACTGATGGAATTTCTATTTGTTTTAAAACCTGCTAAGCTGTTTTTCTTCTGTGTAATTTACTACTGTACAGGTTTTTGTGTTTGTAAGTTGCTTCAGGAACCCTTGCCTAAGAGCTATGTTATAAATCTGAGGAATAGATAAAAATAGTCCAAGATTTGGAAAGAGAGTGTTGTTGCTTGACCTCATGGTCTTAGTATTATGGAGCTATAGTATCAGGTGCATTTGTCCATGGATAATTTTGTTCTGTTGCTTTTCAAAGGAGGACAAATGTGAGGTGTTGCCATTTAAAACCATTATATTATATCACATTTCCATGCAAACCTTAGCTGAATGTCTGTGTGAGTGTCTGAGAGAGCATGAGACAGGAAGTCTCAGTACTGTTGGAAGTTTAGTTTCACTTCTGAAAGTGTGGCTGTTCCGTACTGATGCTCAAAGAGCACAGACGTGATGATGGATTCTCTGTATATAGACTTAAAATAAAGTAGTTTAGAGCTACTGATTGATTCTTTCTTCTGCTATGATATGCCAGAAGACAAGTGTGCTCCTCTCAGGAGGGAGGGGTTGCTTATCACCGGTCTCTCTGGACTGAAGGAGATTTACAGCCAGGGAGGACCACCAGAGAGACGCCCTGGTGTCTTGGGAAGTTGGCGACCTTCCTGGGCATGTTTCCAACAGAGTTTACATATGCATATCAATCAGGAACCCTGAGGGCCAGGAATCTCAATGAAACACAGGACGCATGCAGACATTTAACTGACTTTCCATTTGTCCCCCTCAGCGGTCATTCACCATGGTTGTGCCATCTGAAAATGGCCATGGCCAAGAGCCATACTCAACTGGTACAAAAATAGTTCTGTGGGCATTAACATCTCCTCAATTAAAAAAGATGCTCATACATTACCGAATAAGAGCGTCCTGCGTATGAGATTCAACACAAACAGTATTCTTACCTAGAAAAAAGGCAGTAGAAGGAATGATCAGTTCCACACTCTCAAAACACTTCCAAAACAATGTGTTCATGATATCTTGCCAACCAGGAAACACTCCCTTCCACCCACCCAACTGTACTCAAAAAATGTGAGTGACACAAGAGCCGAAGACTGAGATTAAAAGGAAAGCA